AGTAGTCTTTCACTTCCAGTTAACAGCTCATGCTCATCTTCCATTACTAAAAAGAGGGAGAGACAGATATACCACGGAAGCCACACATAACTAAATATCCCAGAGGGAATTAATACAATAAAACTCTTCAAACACTCCTGAATTATTTAGACATTTGTAATATAGAAATAACTTCTTTCCGATTCCAGGTCCAATTGCAACTTCCTCTTATCACTGCCATGATTCTACCATCTGACCCAGCAGTACAATTTAAGAAGAAAGTGCATAACATTTTGTCCAATGAAGCGGAAAGGTGGACAACAGATCAAGAGGATGTTCAGTCCTTAGGAGCAAATTGATTCATTGGTTTATTTGAGATATTAGTATCTCCCCAATGTTACATAAACTATGAGCAAAATTGATTAAATCAGAAGGCAGAATCCTGGTATGCAGGGAAGTAATAGAAATCCTGAAAGAATTACAGCATAAAGAGAAATGTTGTAAAAGCCTTGAAGCTTGAAGACAAAGCATCCCTTGCACAAGTTTTTTGCTGCCTTCTGTAAGACAAAATCATGAGTCATAGTTGGCCAAAATCTTCTTAAATTGCTGCTAATAAAGACACTGCCATGGTAATTCAGTGAAAAAGCTCACCTCTAACTGATTCGAAGTACCACTTTTTATTACCTGCTATTTACAGAATGGCAGGCAGCCAATAAAATTCTCAGTACAACTCTACATCCTCACATAGCTTGCAAGTTATCTTATTTTCTATCTCTGAATAGCACAATGCATTGTCAAATTAGTTTCTCCCTTGCTTCAACTGGCAATTTATTATATCAATCTTTTTAAGTGTTTAAAAATTAACATAAAAATCCCTATTCAGATTCCTTTAAATAAAAGGCAAGCACACACAGCATTGTCTCACAATAATGGAGTTATTCACATATCTATTTTCAACAGCTATGTTTGGAACTAAAGCTGCTTTGATGTAGAATATATTCAAAAGTTATATACATCTCTGATGTTCCACCTGGCTGTATCTTCCCTCTTTCAGCACTACATCAAAAAAAAGGACAAAATGCCTTTAACAATAAACTTAGCAGGAA